TCTTTCTGGGAGACTTTTAGTCTTCCGTTGCCTACTACTGTTCAGAAATTTTATGTTTCTTCATGATGATCCACTTATATTTACTTGGACATTTTTATCTGAAGATTTATACCTTTCAGCGTAGGGGAAATAGATTTGTTCTGTTTTCTCTACTGAAAATCCTGTTTAGATTTGGACTGAACCTTGTCCTGTTTTCTTTCTCTCTCTCTCTCTCACTTTTTTTCTTTTTACTTTTTTCTAACTCGTATATTCCACCTGGGAAATTCTTCACTTTTTTCTAGCCCTTATATTGAAATTGAAATTTTCATTCAAGTTGTAATTTTTCTTCAAAGAGTACATTTTTGATTCTAGCATATTATTGTGTTTTCTGGTACAATAATTTCTTCTACCCCTCTGAAGGTAATGATGTTTTCATCTTTCATATTTTCTTTTTTCCTTCTCAATTTCTTCTTATATTTTTGATCTAGGTCTGTCTTTTAAATGAACAGTTTCTTCAAATGTTTGAAAATCAATAAAAAGCTGTTTGAAACTGGAAGAAAGTGAGGTGTCATTTGTGGCTATCTGGGAACCTTGGCATTGCATTTTTTGGGAAATCCCTAATGTACTGTGTTTGGTTTTTTATTTGTTCTGGTCAGATGCCGTAGAGCTGCTTGAAGAGTATGATCCTATGGGAGACATTTGGGTGGAAACGTTGATGGGTCTCAAGCTTTAATGCTATGAATGAGCTTTGATTTAATCTTATGGTACTCTCTGCACCCTTTTTCATGATCTCTGCTTATCTTTCAAGAAGCACACTGGACTGGAAGCATGAAATGTGGAAGGGAATCTGAAGGCCAGATGTTTTCTTTAACTGCCTTTCAGATAGTTCTTGTATTTGCAGCCCCACTTTTACCTCTAAGTCTAGACAGAGTGGTATCACCAGTTCTTGGAGGTTCTGTAAATAAATTGGGTTGATTCTGCTGTGACTGATAATTGAGGTTTTCCAATCATGATTTATTCTTTGTTTCTATACTTAACAGGTTCCAAAATTTTACTGCCATATTCTTTCCGTTCTCCTTGTCTTTAGAGGCTTTTATGCGTTCTGAAAATTTCTCTTTTTAAATTTTAGTGTTTATGAAGGGAGAAAATGTGAATTTATGTGGTCAGTCTGCCCTATTTAAAACAGGTTTCTATCCTTAAATAATAATTCTTTCTTAAAATTAGAAAGACTGTCCGTTTCAGTTCTATATTTTTTTACTATCTCTTAACCTATTTTTTCTTATGTAAACATTATCAATTTATATGTAATCACATTTTTTTCTAATAATTATTTTGATTTCTAGTTTTTTTTTTCTTTTTTTTTTAAAGTCTCAATTATATTGACTTTAAAAAGACATAAAATATTGTAATTTCTTCTGGCTCTTTATTATGTAGTTAAAAGTACATATTCTAATGATTCATATTGGCAAAAGACTAGAATCATATCAAATATCTGGTAACAAGAAGCTGATTGATTAAATTATGCCCACACAGTGAAGCACGGAACAGCTAGCTATAAAAAGGAATTAAGAGTATTTTTGTATACTGTTGTGGAATTATCATCAGGATATATTGTTAGTGATAAAAGATACAGAGGAATGTTTATAAAATGCTGCGTTTTGTATAATGGAAGGGAATATGAATAAATCATACTGGTTTATATTTTTCAAAAGGACATATTGGACAAATCTCAAAACTATGAAAATAGTATTAGGGGAAGGGAGAGAAAAAAATGTAGGAAGACAGGTATGGATAAAATGTAATCTGGAATTGTACCTGTATCTTAAGTAGATTTTCCTTTGGAATCATGTAGTTATTTTACATACTAAATGTAAAAAAAAATTAAATAAAAAAATTAGGAACCTCATGATGGCACAGTGGTAAAACACTTTGTAAGGCAGTTCCTACATGGGAATGTTCTGAGTATAAGTACTGACACTTCTCTGAGTACTCTTGTCATAGGCCTATCCATGATTTGAGGCTGGCTGAAGGGTGGGGATAGATCAGTTTTGAGACGTTGCTAGGGTGCTTGCTTGCTCCCTTTCTTTGTGTCTCTTGCTCATGAAATAAGGAAATATTAAAAAAAAAAGTCTCAACTTTTAAAAGCTTCAATATATGTAAAGGTAAACGTAACCATCTATAAAGTTAGTGAATACCCAAGAAAAGAATTATTTCAAGTGATCTAATTTTGATTGAACAATTCTAGTGGGGTATATTTTAAGGTAAAGGAAAAAACCTATAAAGTAAGCTTAAACTGCATCAGCATATGTTTAGAAGTATAATAGTGTTGTCATTGCTATTTTGAAACTTAGGTGTAATTATAAGATAAAAGAGATAAGTAATGTTATAAGGAACTAAGATTTTCAATGTAAGAGAAAAAAGTATATAATTAAAGAAGTTGAAAAAACCTTGAATTTTTAATTCATAACAGAAATACGACTAAGTTATTTTTTCAAATTATATTTTTCCTAGTCCTACCTCTGAAAAGGACTAGAAGTAATATAAACTCTTTTTTTTTTTTTTTTTTGAGAGGTTTTCGCTATAGGGCTCGTGCGCTCGCCAGACAGACAGAGAGAGACATAGAGACAGAAAGCGAGAAATCACCCCCCTGGGGCGATGGTCACGCCGCAATCCCTTCTCCTCCATTCTCCTCTCGGGATCTTGGGCACGCACGCACACACGCCCGGCGTGAGTTTTAAGCCACCGGGTCCAGGACACGAACCGCGGTCGACTGCGTGGGAGTCCAGCGACATAGCCATTACGCTAACTGCTGGTTCCCAAGAAGTAATATAAACTCTTTAACATTGAGTTGGTGTCTGTATTATGGTCTCTGAATATCTTTTTTTCCTACAAAGAGGCAGGAAACCTTGAAGAAATGGCCAATTTGATCAGGTTCAGGAAATATGCAGGATGATCCTGGGGTATTATATCATTCTAGAAAGTAAAAGAGATGTCTAAGACCAGTGGAATGGTGTCAAAAATACCTCAGCTAACCAGAACGGATCTCTGACTGGTTTCAGATGGACAGTTTGAGAATCAAATAAATAATGGATGCAATGGATTGAAATATGTAAAGTGTATAAAAATGAATTTTAATAGATACTAAAATAAAAAATGAACAAAAAACAGAGTTTGCCAGTTACCTGTTGAGGTTTCTAGGATACCCATCAACCTTTACTTTGCAAATTGAGAAAAATATTTAAGCATTTTCTACCCATTCTTTATTAATATTTTAGCTTAATAAGTTTTTGAAGTTTTTCATAGAATTCTTGCTGATAAATGCAAAAGAAGTCATTTTAAAATAAAATCACTATTTGGAAATCTTTAATGAAATAATGGATCTAGGAATTGATTATCAATAAATGCTAAAATCATTAGGCAAAAGGTAAATGAGAAGAGTTTCTTGCTGGTGAAATCAGGCTGATACCTCCGGACCAGCTGGTTTTTAGCACAACTGAAACTGGGATAACCAGATATGTGCCTCATGCATTAGGAGAAGTACAGAGAAGCAACAACCTATGAAATTATTTTGCAAGGGAAAAAAAGGAAAGGAAATTAAAAAAAAAATGAACTTAAATTTAACTTAAGTCTTACATCTCATTATCACCCTTTGGGAATTATGGAGAACTAGAGAAATGAGTTAAATGACACCATGGTGAAGCAGTAATCCAGTAAAAAATAAACGGGTGAAACAGCTGTTTCTCCAAGAGTCTGTGAAAAAGAAAAGAGGGGACCTAAATAACTACAACAGCCCAATGCACTCTATGACAAACCTGTCATAAAAATATGTCTTTAACACAATTGGAATTTTGAAAGGGGCTGACTAACAGTTGATGTTAAAATATTATAATCTTGTTAGATGGTCTATAGGCATTTCTTTTTTTGAGAGGTTTATGCTATAGGGCATGTGCGTTCGCCAGAAAGACAGAGACAGACAGAAAGATAGAAAGTGAGAAATCACCCCCAAGGGGGGATGGCCACGCCGCAGTCCCTTCTCCTTCATTCTCCTCTCAGGATCTTGGGGATGCACGCACATGCACCCGGTTTGAGTTTAAGCCACTGGATCCGGGACTCGAACTGCAGTTGGCTACATGGTAGTTTGCGACATAGCCATTATGCTAACTGCTGGTCTATGGGCATTTCTAATAGAAACTTCTATTAGAAATGTATAATGGGTAAAATAACATGATTTTCAAAATTTATCATATAATACTCACGAGAAGGTCAGGGAATAGATAAAACAAGCCTGGTGTTATGTTCATAACTGTTGAAGATGGATGAGGGATACATGGAGTTCAGTATCCTACTCAATCTACTATTTGCTCTTTTATCATTATTTTCTTAAAAAAAAAAGTTAGAAAAAATTAAATGAAAGTGCGCTGTTCTGGGGCCAGACAGCCTAGATTTGAGTTCTGGCTCCACTTCACACAGCTGTGTGGTATAGTGCAGGTTACTTAACTTCTGTAAGCTTTACCTGTATTTCCTTATCTGTAAAAATTAAATAAGAATAGATCTACTTCTTAGGGTTATTGTAAGAGAAATGAATGAATACATATTAGATGCTTAGAACAGTGCTTGGCACATAGCAGATATTAAGTTCTTATCTATTATTACTACTGAAAGTGTCTTAGCCTTTGAGAGGGAGAACTAAGTCCTATTGATGGGATGGAGAACTTATAAATAAGTTCTAGACGTGGAAAATTTAGGATTATGTTTTCATCACAAAATCCAGATTTCTTGCATATATGGCCATGGCCCCATGGTATCAAGTTCATTGTGGCTTTTCCTTATTTGTGTTTTGTTTTCTTCATCCCACTGAAACTGCTCTCATTACTAGAGTCTGCACATGGTTGGTAACGGGAGTATTGGCATGTTTGAGAAAATCTAGAGGAAGACTAACAGGGAGCCAAACAAATGAGAAGTTCTTGTGACACGGTGAGATTGTATGACCTTGGAATCACTTTTAAGTGTTCTCTTTTTAGTCCTACAGGTGCTCATATAATTGCCCAGTTCTCGAAAAAGCTTCTCGATGAAGATATTTCTATTTTTTCTGGATCAGATATGTTGCCTGTGGTTAAAGGAGCTTTTATTTCTGTGTGTCGCCAAATATATGGTACATGTGAGGGCCTGCAAGTGTTAATTCCTTATAGTTTGCATGAATCTATAGCAAAGGCATGGAAGAAGGTAAGTGTTTTCAAGCTGCCCTTTTTTTTTTTCCCCTTGCTAATCTTTATTTCAAATATAGGCACATTATAGCATAATTCTGTGGATTTTACTCAGGCAAACACTTTACTATCACAATACTTTAGAGGATGTAATGCTTTTTCAGTGGGACAAATTTCTAAGACTTTACTATGAAGTTTTTTCTTCTGGTAGGAGAAGCTTTCGATAAATTCTCCTTGTATAAACTTAACATTCCGCTTTAGAAACTATTTTTCTGTTATGGATACTGGCAACCATAGGCAGTAGACATACATACTAGGCATCAGTGGAGTACTAAGTCTTTTTTTATGATTTTTATATGGTTTATTTGTAAAATACTTTATATGATATATAATTGATAGCCAAATAATTTAAATTTTAATCAAGGATCAAAAATAAAAATGTAATATAAGGGCCCACTCTGTGGCCTAGTGTTAAGGGAGCTGGATCCCAAATGGCTAACTTTTGTTTGAGTCCTGGTCCCAGTGGCTTGAAAAACACCTGCCAGATGCATATGCATGCATGCATCCAAACTGCATAGGACAGAGAGATGGCAGCAAAGGGATTGAGGCATGACTATGCCCTTTTAGGGTGTCCTTACTTTCTCTTTGGCAAGCATATGGGCCCTCTGGCAATTACAGAATCACAGTGTAAGAAATTTTATAAGTACTGTTATAGGTAAAAAAAAAAATAACATAATCTCTTATCCTTTTTTAAAGACAAGTTTGCTCTCAGAAAGAAGTCCTACTCCAGTAGAAGGTTCTGATTCTGTGTCTTCAGTAAGCCAGGATTCCCAAAATAGGTAAGCACTATTGATTAAAGTCCTTTGTTTATTATGTTTACTGAAATAATCTTTAAATAATTTAAGAAAATTGAATACTATAGCAAACATGTTTTTATAAGGAAGGTTGCTGTATACATACAGGCTCAAGGAAAATTACAATTTAGAGAAACTTTGGAGATCACATGATACTTGTAGCCTCAGTCAGCCACGTGGGAATCTAGTGCCTCTAACCACTGCACCACCTGCAGGCCCCCAGTCACTTTCATTATCAGTATTTAAAGCTATTAATGCATCGTCTTTTGGATTAGGTGGTAATTGATAGATCTGTTATCAGGATAATTGCCTTCCTTTTATAGGTCATATCTTTTCTCTGATAACTTTTTCCTTTTTTCTCCCATATTTGCTATTTCTGTGTGATTTATATTGCTTAGTACTTCGAACAATCTTTTAATCTATAGACTAAAATGAAATCTTGCATCTATTCTAGAAAACACGCAGTATAATCTTTTAAAAAAACGTTACTTGACAAATAATAATTTTATGTACTGTGTTGTCAGAAAAGTCATGTATGTATTTTTTTTTGGAGAGATTTTCGCTATAGGGTACTTGTGCTCGCCAGACAGACAGAGAGAGAGACAGAGAGACAGAAAGCGAGAAATCACCCCCCGGGGGGATGGTCACGCCGCAATCCCTTCTCCTCCAGTCTCCTCTTGGGATCTTGGGTATGCACGCACACGCGCCCAGCATGAGTTTTAAGCCACCAGGTCCGGGACGCGAACCGCGGTCGACTACGTGGGAATCCAGCGACATAGCCATTACGCTAACTGCTGGTTCCCTGTATTTCTGTTTTTCTATGCAAAAATATGTCATGACTTTTCTGATGACCTAGTATTTATGAAGATAATGTCTTTCATATATTCCTTCTTTTTTTCTTCTCTTGGGGCTCTTGTTAGTTTTTTTCTGGGAGAAAGTTGTGGCCTTCCTTATGGAAGTATTCAGAGAATGGAGCCAATAGTTGGTGTGGTGGTTAAGGGCATTGGACTCCCACATGACTGACCATAGTTTGAGTCCTGGATATGGCAGCTTGCTTTCTCATTCTTTCTCTCTCTTTCTCTCTCTGTCATTCTCTGGTCAAGTTATTTAAATTAAAAAAAAAGTTTTCAGAGAAACAGCGACATTATTTCCCAAAAGTGAAATAAGTTAAAAGTCAATAAAAATAAAAGCAGATAATATATGTGTGTGTGTGTGTGTGTTTGTGTGTATATACACATATATATTATATATTATGTATTATATATATATTATACACATGTGTGTAATATATATATATTTATGTGATATCGGATTCTTATAGAAAATAAGATTCAGAAAAAAGGGTGGGAGAATCCAGGCAAATCAAAATTATATTAGGAAAATTGAATGAAATTAAGACATAATGAGAGAATTTAGACAATATACTAAAAATGCTGACATATACAGTTAGTATCTGATTCAATGAAGGACAGTTATAGAAAATGTAGGGATAACATAATTCACTATCAAAGAATCCATGTTTCTTTATTTTATTTTTAGACATTTATTAATTTGCAAACAATGTGTACCGTGTACATTTAATTTCCATAGTATTAAGCTGAGCTATGTTTTTAGAGTATATTAAATAAAGTTCTAACCATCTATTTCAGTATGGCTTGGGAAGAGAATTTATTAGATGATTTGCTAAATTTTGCTGCCACCCCAAAAGGATTGCTACTACTTCAAAGAACAGGAGCCATCAACGAATGTGTGACATTTATGTTCAACCAATACACAAAAAAATTACAGGTATGAATTACCATCTGCTACAGGCAAAAGTAATTTTTGTTGTAAAAAGCCATCAAGAACATCATTCTGTTTTCTGTGCATGAAAAAGTTATTAAGCCTCAATTAAAACTCCATATAGCATTGTAATATTTAACTTGATTTTTTTGGGGGAAAGCATTAGAATTGATATTGGTGTCTGTGACTGTGTTTACAGAATTGCAAACAGATGGAACTGAAAAATTTAGTTAACATCCAGATGTTTTATAGATATGATATCAGACATCTGGATGTACTTAAACTGGGCAGAACTTCTAGAGAAATAAGTCTATTGGGTCTAAATATATGTGTCAATGCATTTTGAGGCCTCATGTTTTAAAAGAAACAATTATTTGTAGTGAAATACTTTTACTCTACTGTTAAATAAAATTTAGAATATACGTTAGCCTTTACTCAGAGGCCACTGAGTTGTATTCAGCATTTTTTATGTGACAGCAAATATCCTGGCTTCTGCTTTTAAAAGCATCTTTCCTTATTTATCTCCGACAGCCATTGTTTTAGATGTTATTAGGTTACCTGATTGTTAATACTATTTTCGTTGACTTTTTTCAATTCTAATTTCCTGTTTTTTTTTAAACCTATAATACATTTTTGTAAGAAAATAAATAAATAAACATTTTAGTAGCCTTTGTCTTTGTGACAAATAGTTCCTCTGAGTCAAGGCCTTGATCACCCTTTATTAGTTGATAGGCTTTTGATACTAAATCTGATAAATATCTTATTGTTTCATTTTATTTAAACAGACTTCAGGTATAAAGAATTTAGTTATTTCTATGTTTTAGTACATGGCATATTGTCCTCATCTATTCAAACAAGATTCCTCTTCTGTTTGATTCCCCTGTTATTCCCAACTTTCAGTTCCTTTTCCCTGCACACATTTCTGAACCCTGCACCTCTATATTAGTATGTTTAATATGTGTGAATACACTTAGATATGTATACTTCTTGTTGATTGTGTAGAATTTTTTTCAGTCTTTTTGGTTGGCATAGATGAAATTGCACTCCGATTTGATTTTTCTCTGCTGGTAAATTTGAGTTACTTCTTGTATACTGATAAACTCTTGGGTTTCTGTTTTTGTTTTTATATATTTTTAAATAAGCAGGAAGTTCAAAGACAATTTTCTTTTTTATTCAGATGCTTCAAACTGTACAGACACAACTTTTACCATTGTGATAAGACATCTATGACTAGATATCATTTTTTTTCATACTCATAAATCTTAAAACAAAACAAAAAACCCTAGTTGTCTTTGGTTACCATAGAAGATATTGTTCGCTAGTTCTCAGTAACTTACAGCCTTATAATTTAGTGTATCACCATCTTCATTATCATAATAATTAGTGTGATACTTTAATGGTATTCTGTGGTATTTTAGTATTTTTTTTTTAGAGCCTCAGTTACCTTGTAAGAAAGCAACTCAGCTAGGTAATTTTCTTAATTTTGCACAAGAGAAAGTAGAGACTCAGGTTGGTTAAATATTTTGCTTTACAGATCTAATAGCTCACTAGTTACTGATAGCAGGAAGACTAGAATTCAGATTTCTTATCTTGGACATTGTTCACGAACATTGCATCTTATTTGGTAAAGCATTTCTAACTTCCCTGAAAATTTTTGTTACTTTTTTTTGAAAAATAACAAAAACAAAGTATGATTTTGGCAAGCCCTGTGGTTCCTAATATCTGAATCACTAGGGCCAGTGGGAGTGACCGGTGAATGAGGTGTTTTTTCAGTTTTGGAAAAAAGCAAGTCAGAAGAGGATAAATATTTATCTTACTGAACTTCCATGTCATTTAACTGCAGAAGGATGGATCGTAAGTTAAAGAAAATACTACATGTGACTAATAAAAATGGAAAAGAAAGGCAACTTTATAAGGACGAGAGCAACAGAAAATTGGAGAGATACATTTTTTTTCCTGTTGTCTTTTAGTTCCTTTCTATAGTTGTTATGATTTTTCTTTCTTTTAAAACTGAGTTATAGCTTAGATTTTTAAAATTGGAGATTAAAACAGGCTTTTTAAATGAAATATTTAAAAATACAAATTCTAAATGGTTAGCTGTATTTAGAAGTCAAATATTTTATAAGCTGATATGACTTTTGTCAAAGTCTGAGGAGAAACATTTTACGATAATCTCTTCATCATTTCCTTGTTCCTCAGTTATGCTAAGAGAGGTACATATTTCTGAGATACTTTATCCTGAATATATACATTTCTCATCAAATAGTAAATTAGTAAATAGTAAATTCATGTCTACAATGTTCTTTTTGAAACATGTATATTAACGATTTAGAGTGCTCGTGTGTGCGTGTGTGTGTGTGTGTGTGTGTGTAAACATACCCCTTTATAGGAACGAAAATGATATTCTCTTTAAAAATAATTGTCTTTTTGTTTTTTTGGTGTTATTTTTTTGGATTTTGCAATAGGGCTTGTGTGGTCACCAGAGAGAATGAGAGAGGATAAGTGAGAAATCATGCCCCCAGGGTGGATGACCTCTTGTCTTCTCTTGGGAGTTTGGGCAGTCACACGCACACGTGTACCTGGTGTGATTTTCAAGCCACCAGGTCTGGGGCTTATACTGTGGTTGGCCATGTAGGTGTCCAGCACCTAACCACCACACCATCTACTGGCCCCATAATTGTCACTTTTAAAGATACCACTGTGATTTTCAAAAGTTATTCGATTACTTGAAAGCCCCGTTGAGACATTGGCAGATTTATTAATGAGGAAACTTATTAAAGAGGAACCAGACTTCAAAATTAAAAATAGGATAATAAATTTAGAGTTGGGAGCAATTTTATTCTTTATCTAGTCCAGGTCCCCTATTTTATGTGTAAAGAGACTTAGACCTAGAGAGATAAATGACTTCAAGTTTAGGAGCTACTTTTTAGTTTTAGAGCTGTGATTAGAATCGAGATCTGAAATAAGATGATCAAAAATATTGCTTTAGTGCAAACTTATTTATTATCAAAGTTTCTAGCCTTGTTTTTACTGCTGTTGTTATCATCTGGAAGGAATGTCTAGTATTCTGATCTTAAAATAACTAGTAACTCTATATATAACTTGTATAAAACATTGGCATGTTTGTTATTTCCCATTGTGGTTCTTTATTTACATTCGTAGACTAGCAGGCATAAGAAGTTTGGCTATGGAGTTTTAGTGACCCAAGTGGCATCAACAGCAGCAGGTGCAATAGCATTACAAAATTCAGGTAAGTTTTTTCTTTTAATTGCAGTTATACTAATTTTAAGTAAATTGCTAAAGCCAACTGAAAATATAACTAACATGATCAGGTATGAGTCCATTTGTTCTAATATTCTTTTTTCCAAATTAGGCCTTCTATAAAAAAAAGTTAGGTTTTTTTTGGTCTTTCCCCTTCCATGAAATTCCACTGGAAATTTAATGACCTATAAAGTATATACAACCTCACTCCCTTTACTCACAACAATGACACACAATAAATCAACTTGAAACATACTTGATGTTTTAGGAATCCTCCTTCATCTTATAAATCAGATGACTATCATCCTCTCAGTATATTTACATCTGATAGGATTGCCTAATAATGTCAGTTGCACCAGTTTATGTATGCAACCAGACTTACACTCACAGCAGTTAACAGAAGTACATACCACTTCCTCATTCTCTATTTTCCTCTTCCTGTCTTAAAATCATTTCTCTTACCACTTAACTCTCACAATATTTTTGAATTTTGCAGTATGTATTCCCCACTCTCAATTGGCTTTCTGAGAACTTAAAACACTAATAATATAATATATATTAAGTTTACTGGAGTCCTGAGCAAAGTATAATCCCAAATAAAGATGCTTTATTATGTTTTTTAAGGCTTAGAGGTGATGAATCATAACATTAGTGATCATTATTGATTCTCTCCCTAAATGAAAATGTTTTCCTGCAGTGTATTTTAATTTTGTTTTATTGCTGAAATAACTTGGGCTACTTTTATTAGGAACCATGTTTTTTGGCAAGAATTGTCTCAAACTGAACCACTTATTTTTTCTTCTGTTGGGTCATTAGGAAAGTCGTGACACATGTTTGCTTGGAAAAACATGTCATGACTTTCCCAGTGACTTAATACTTGGAGTAAAATCCATGTACTACATTACCAGGAACACATTAATTGAAGCATTTAGGGACTAGATTTAATCTCAGATCTCCCCCTTGGTCAAGTCTTTAAGCTACTGAGCGAGCCTCATTGTATCAAGCTTTTCTTCAGAGGGTTAAATGTCAGTTTTTTTCAAAGGACAAAAGAAGACTAATGCTGCATAAGCTCCTGTGAGGTCTTAAGTATTGGGAACTTCACATATGTCATCCCCTTTATACTTCATGACAACCCTGCAGTGTAGCATTAGTACTTCAGTTTTGAAATGAGAAAAATAGGGCTCCAAGAAGTCAAGTAATTTTTTTTTTTTAAAGAATGTACAACTTATGAACTGGCAGATTTGTGATTTGAACCCTGAAATTCTTGAATTTAGAGTCCATATTTTTTCTGCTATACTAGAGGACCTTTTCTGCTCTAATATTTTTATTAATTTACTGGTTTTATGAGTAAATATTAGATTTTTACATTTTTATTATTTTATTTTATTAAAAAGAAATTTTATAATCAAGTTTAATATTTACTTCAATCACTTGTATAGTATCTGACTACTCATGACAATTTAAAGATTGTATTGAGGCAAAAATTGTGTGAAATTCAGTTGTTCTAAGCATGTGGAATTACAAAAAATAATAGTCCTGTTGAAATAAGGAAATATACTTACACTCTTTGGATACTTGTCTTGCTCCCTTACACTGCTTTCTTTTCTTCTCCCCACACTACCTCAACACAGTTTTTCAGGCTGCCTTGCATTATTGTATAATTTACATAGTAGAGCAGAAAGCTTATTATTTTTCAGAAAAACATGCTCAGAAATATTATTGGCTAACAGATAAACCAAGAACTCAAAATTTACCCATCTTCGAAGGAAACAGTCAATCAGAATTTTATGACAATAATTTGTTAACCACAAAATTAAATTAACACGAGGCCAGCAGATGGCATGGTGGTTAAAGTGCTAGATTCCCATATGACCTATCATGGTTCGAGTCTCGGACCTGGTTGCTTGAAAACTCAGGCATGTGTGCCCAAAATCCTAGAAGGAGAAGGGATTATGGTATGGACATCCACCCTATGGGTGGGGGTGTGATTTCTCACTCTCCCTCTGTCTCTCTCTGGTGAGTGCAAGTATCCTATGGCAAAAACTTTAAAAAATCAACACTAACAAATACAATTTCTACCAAAAGTGGAGTTTATTTCTTATAGAAGATGTTAAATATGTGTCTTCTGTCAGACCAGTGTTGTGTAGAGATAATCATGTCTTTGCTCCACAGTCCAAAGAACTATACTATAAATATAACAAAATAATAATTCTTCTTAGGGTTTGTTAATGCACTTGTAACTGAATTATGGTCTAACCTGGAATGTGGAAGAGATGATGTTAGGGTAACCCATCCCAGATCTACTCCGGTGGATCCTATTGACCGAAGCTGTCAGAAGGTAAGAAGTGATTCAATTTAACTAATAATATACAGGTTTCAAATATATCTCATGGAAATTCACCCAGACTTTATGTTCATTTACAACCAGCAGTATTTTCCACCTTTTTAAATTTCAAAATTAATTTTTATTTTAAACATGAATTTAATTTCTTTCCTTTTATTTTTTTCTCTTTAGTAAAGAATAATAACACACCAGGCATGTTATGAAAAACAAATCCCTGAAACAAATAAAAATCAGCCAAGACAAAAATCTAAGAAACCTATTCTAAAACATGGGGCTTAAATCTAATGGAAAAGTTTTAGGATTATTTAATAGGAGAGTTGGACAGAGAGAAAATGCTATAATTTAGAGTAATGTGACAGTACATTTAAGCACTCATACAGCGTTCAATGCCTTTTATATACTGAAAATATTCTTTAAATTTCACTAAATGAAGTGATGATTTCTATCTTCAACTTTGTGTAACCTGAGTAATTTTCATTCAGGGGAAGTCATAAAATTATTTTTTTGAAGGCTCCAAAACAAAAGAACTCCAATATTTCAGAAATTATTTCTCTGGAATGATGGGCTAGTTAATTCCTATAGAAAACATTAACTTTGGAAAAATAATTTATGAGTCAAGAGGTTAAAAACATTGTTATGACAACAAATGAGCAGAAAATGGAGGGGAGTCAGTGTACAGATGAGAAGAGTGGTACTGCTTGAGTTCGTGTATTCCATGGTTTTGCCAGAGGTCAAGTACAATTGTTGCTCCACAGATAGAAATCCACAATTAAAAAGCTTGAAAAGCCAGAATGTACAGTTCATGCAGCCGCTGGGAAATGGAAGGCGGTCCCTGGAAAACCATAGAGTAAAAAATGAGACACTGTAAACTAACCTACTTTTAATACTTTCAAGGGAGGTTTTGATTTCCTGTATCACATTCTTCAACCCTAGGAGTTCCATCTGGTTCTTGTTTAAGGTATCTATTTCTTCTTTCAAATCATGAAAGGACTTCCTCATCTCCTGGAGCTCCTTGTCTCTTTTCTCTCCCATCTCAGTTAGTTTGGTCACTACAAATATTCTGAATTCCTTATCAGACATGTCCACGACATCCATTGTACTGACTGTGGGTGATGTAGGCTTGATGGTTTCCTTAGGGAGAGAGGCCTTTTGTTGGTTGCTCATACTTCTTGAGCTTCTGTGATTGTTCCTAGTCATTAGGTGATCTATATGTTGCTTCCTAACTTATTTAAGGTATCTCTGAGTGTTAAAAGTTATACAGAATTAGAAAATCGATGATTTCTGTTATGGTAGGCCACCAGTACCAATGACTTCTCTACCTGTTGCTCACCAATACCATGAATTGTTGCCATTGGTCCTGGGTGGCACAAAGTCCTTCCTGTTTCTAAGGAGTGGTGAGCCTCCAAATGACCTAATAAGTAGCACCTCAAGAGCAAAGGAAAACAAACAGACAAATCAGGTGGCACACTATTCAAAGCGCTATAATTCCAAGAGTCCAAAGGCAAGTGGAGAAGAGCCAGAGCATGAGTGATGGGTACTGGTTGGACAGGCTGCAGCCGCTGGCAGCATGGTGTCCAGAACTGCTGGCCGGCTTGATGCGGTTTGCAGGTGGGGTGGGGTGGGGTGCGAGTTTGTGTTAAAGTCCCATGGAACCAACCTGAGGTCCAGAGAGGAGTAGGGGTGGGGATTGACGAAGATCCAGGGCTGGTGTGTTTGCAGCTGCAGGCAGCCTGGTGTCTGGAAATGCTGGTTGGCTCCATGCAGTTTGCAAGTGGGATTGGGTGGGGTGCGAGTTTGTCTTAAAATTCCACGGAATCAACCTGAAGTCCAGAGAGAAGTAGGGGTGGGGATGTGCGAAGGTCCAGGTGGGCTGGGCCTGCAGCCACAGGCAGCCTGCTGTCCGGAACTTCTGGTTAGCTCGATGTGGTTTGCAGGTGGGGTGGGGTGGTGTGTGAGTTCGTCTTAAAGTCCCACGGAACCAACCTGAGGTCCAGAGAGGAGTAGGGGTGGAGATGTGCGATGGTCCCAAGTGGGCGGGCCTGCAGCCGCAGGCAGCCAGGTGTCCAGAACTGCTGGCTAGTTCCAACATGTGTACGTTTCTCACCAGTCCAGTTGATAATACTATAAAGTTATCTTCAACATATTATACCCTCTTTGTCCCATTAATGCTTTCCTTCTCTATTTTTCTTCTTAATGCCCTTCCTCAGACACTACCCCTTCACTCACCCTCTTCCCACACTATAAATGGTATTCCCAATCATTTCCTGTGTTTCTACATTCCATAGTCATTCAGTTTCAGTCATAGAGAGTGGACACTGTATATATTAAGTGGAGACATACAGTGTCTCTCCTTTATAGCATGGTTTCCTTCACTCAGCAGTAAATCTTCCATATTCATCCACTTTCTGTCAAAAGCCAGGGTCTTGTTTTTTTTTTTTTATGGCTCAGTAGTATTCCATAGAGTGTATGTGCCACAATTTTTCAACCCATTCATCTGTTTGTGAGCATTTGGGTTTGTTCCATGTCTTAGCAATTGGGAATAATGCTGCAATAAACATCAATGTGCAAGCACTTCTCCAATTAATTCTTCTTCTGTTCTTTGGGTAGATACCAAGTAGTGGGATTGCTGGATCATATGGTAGTTCTATTTTTAGATTTTTTTTTTATTATTATTATCATAATCTTCTTTATATTCCATTGGATTACATATAACTTTACATTGACTTCCATTGCTTTTTCAAAAGGGAATGCCATGCATGTCAGTCAATACAGAGGCATCTATCTCCCCGCTTTATTATTCAAAGTCTTTTCCATGCATTTCCCAATAATTATTATTATTATAATTTTTTAAAACAGTCAATCACTATTTCTCATTTTGCTTGTTAAAAGACTTCACCCATCATGAAATACTTCCCAGACCAGTCCAGTTGAGAATACTATACACGTCATCTTCAACAGATAATAAACCATATCTGTTTCTCACTAACATCCCCTCTATTGTTCACTTGCT